TTCAAGAGCCTTGATGGTCTCTTTCATTTCCCCTTCCAGTCTATAGGGGGCACCCTTGGGTGGAAGTGCTTTTCAAGGGCTGGATTTCCCATGGGACAAGACTACCCTTCCAGTCTTAGCTTGCAGGACATTGGGCAAAGGGTCCTGGCATAAGGAGATTAAGGGGTCCCCAGGTCAAAACCCTGAGGAAGCTTCAGCCCCCCACAGAAGTCCTTGTCAGGGGGCTGGAGTGATAGCACAGCGGGTAGGGCATTTGCCTTACACGCGGCCAACTTGGGTTCAAAACCCAGCATCCCATATGGTCCACTGAGCACCGCCAGGAGTAATTCCTGAGTGCAGAGCCAAGAGTAACCCCTGTGTATCACCGGGTGTGACCCAAAAAAGGGAAAAAATATAAAAGAAGTCCTTGTCATCTTGCTTCTGTCACCTCAATGTTAATATTTTGGGGTGCTGGAGAGTAGTAGAACTTTCTATGCAGAGACATGGATCACACTTTAATTACAAACTTAGCAATTTTAGAGCACCTGTGTGGCCAGAAAGGAAAGGAAATCCCTGCCATCTTGCTGACTTTGTGTTGGGAGTTCCTTTTTAATTTTCTCCCTCCTATATCTATGATTGTTGCTTAACATCCCTGTACTCTAAATCCTATGAAATAAATACTAAGACCCCCCCATTCTAGAGATAATTGAGTCAGACTCGATTCTTGCCCTGAGTCATCTGAGGAAAACAATGATGAAGATGAGATTTGAGCCCAAGTCTATGAGCAAACTCATAGACTTTGCTCATACCTGCTGTTTCCAATAAAGTCTCAGGGTACTCCATCATCCCCGAGGTCCAGAGGAGACATAAACTTGAAGAAGGCACTCTAGGGGTTTATATGTGGTGAGCCTCCAATCCACCCACTACTCAGGGGGGCACCCAGTGCTTAACGCTTTTTCTTTGCAATTACCTCTACAAACCCCTGTCAAAACACAAACCATAGGGTCAGCGTAGTGCTATTACAGTAGGTAAGACACTTGTTTGCATGGGTCTACCCAGGTTTGATCCCCGGCACCCCACGGGGTCCCCTCAGTACAGTCAGAAGTGATCCCTGAGCACAGAGCCAGGAGTAAGCCCTGAGCACTGCTAGGGTGCCAAGAACAAACAACCCCCCCACACACACCAGACCCACCCAGTATCATCCATGGAATCATCTCAGTGACAGAACTGGCTGATATTTCCAGAGAATCAAGTACTCTGTCCACTCTGGGAGCGGACAACTAGCATTTCATTTCCCCAACCCAAGAGGTGCAATGGACATCTGGAGATCTGTTGCAATGGACTGAGAAGACCATGAGCTTTGGTGGGTGACAAGGATTGGTTTTAGGGGTTGGGGCTGGAGAGTGTGTCCATGTCTGTCTTCCAAGGAGATAAAAAGTGGGGGAAAAATACCATCTACTGTGGAAAAAAAGATTGTTCCTACTCCACCTCAAAAAAAAAAATCCGAGAAAGTCATCTTTCCCCAGGCTACCACATCTCTACACCTACAGTCAATTCTAATTTAATAAGTGAACTAAATTAAACATGATGCACATTTATCTCAAAGCCAACAAAAAAGGATGGGAGGGGGGAAGGAGTTTGGTACCCTTCAGAACATCATAAGAATTACATTTCACATATGTTGTCATTTCCCCCAAAATTTTATCTTCCCTCATGCTCCTTAGCCCCACCCCACTCCCCACACACAATGCCTCATCTCTACCCACCCATAACTTGAAAAATCTCTGGAAATTCTATGTCTCCAAATACACAGGAAATATTCAAAAGATATGTGGGGGATTATAAGGACGTTCTTAAGGATTCAAGAGAAAATAAGTCTTCCTTTGATTAAGATTGCGATTTAATCGGACACTAATTGGGCATTGAATAATGCTACACACACACACACACACACACACACACACACACACACACAAATCCAGAGAGATAGTATTGGGAGGAAGTTGCTTGCTTTGCACGTGGCTAACCCCAGTTCAATCCCTGACACTGCATATGGTGCCATGAGAACCACCAAGAGTTATTTCTGAGTCATAAGAGCCCTGAGCATCACTGGGTGTGGCCCAACCCTCCCAAAAGAAAGTCCAATTGTTTAAAATCAAGCACACAAAAGATGGGAATTCCAGGGGTTAACCTGATGTAGACTCTGTCTCCTCGCTTGCCTTCCTTCTTTCCCATTACCTTACTCTCTGGCCATCAGTATATCAGTCTTTGTTGTTCTGTTCATCAACAATTCATCTACATCAATATGCATATGTACACCACACGCTCTAACTTTCTACAGAGAGATCCCACAGGGCAAATGTGGTTTTTAAAGACTTAATCACATGCAAGAAAGAAGCCAATTGCACTTGGCCCTCAGATTTCTCTCTTTGAGCCAAAACGAAATCTAGACATTAAGACTCACTAGACATTGCCACTACTCCAACACCAACAATATATCCCACAGTCCACTCAGGACTGACACCCTGAGGTAGAAATCCTCCATCTTTGATGGGCTCTTTTGAACCAAGGGTCTCCCCAAAACATCACTCTTTAACGTTTGGACGCCTGAAGACCCACGAACCAGCAGTTAGAACCAAGGTGTCAGAACAGTCTTCAACTTTTCTCTACCTGTAGACTGGCTGGTGGTTGAAGAACACTGCCCTAAATAGTTTTCTTTTTCAAACAAGATGGGTTTTTGCACTTGGTCATTCACAGGGACACAGACAAAGGAGAGAGTTCTGGACAGACATCCACAACCTATGACACAGGTGGGCCGGGAGGACAAGATGAGAAATGAAAGATGGTCACTAGAGAATAAAGACTGCCCAACGCCACTTCCATGGTAGGCAGGCAGGAAGGAGAATAGGGTGCTCGAGGTGGGGTGGGGTGAATGGAAAGTTGAAGGGGGAGGGCACTGCTTCTACTTTATGAAGTAGAAAAGGTTTGGAGGTGAAGGTGGAGATGGTCCACAGCTATGATTGTACTAAATGCCATCACAAACTTTACATTCAACAAGGGTTAGATGACAAATTTCATATTATGTATGTTTTATCACAGTTTAAAAAGAAGATTGTCATCTATTAAGAGTTTTCTATATGTTTCTACACTTGTTATTTATTTTATCTTTGCTGTGCCATGGACCAAACCCAAGTCTCATACATGTAGGGCACATGCTTGGCCAATGAGCCACATTCCTGACCTCTACACTTAGCCTTAGAGTTGAAAGTCACCAAGTCCAAGCCCTTTTCTTTAACCAGGACCCACAAAAAATAACTCTAGATTATATCATGATCCAGTTTGTATATTTCATGATACTGAAATCATGAAGTTGACATCTATATGAATATCTATTACATATAAAGTATTACATGTAATAAAATATATTGTACAATGTATTATATGTGGTATACACATACATGAGAATGAACACATAGTTGAAATATAAACATAAATATTTAGACATTGTACTTCTAACTGTACCATTTAAATAATATGTTTATAAATGTAATAATTGTATAAGTATATACATAACTGAAAATAGAGTCACCAAAAATACTATAGAAAATGTGCTTTACCACTTGAGGTAATCACTGACTTTCCCTCCTCTATTCTATTCCATTTTTTTAAAGTCTCCCTTATAACCCATCAGTCCTTCTCACAGTCCAGAATGGGTTTTCACCTACATCCCGGAGAATATCAGTCTACACCAACCTCCCGAACCATGCAGAAATCTCCTCTGGAGACCCCGTGCCACGCGGGCTTCCAGCTTGAATGCTTTTGGCAACGGGGAGCTCAGTCCCTGCGTGTACCCAAAGAGGTTCTGTCCAGCCACCTCACCCACTCGGAACCTGTGCTCAACGTGACCTGGAGGGACCCAGGGCAGCTGCCAGGTGCTGAAGAGAGGACGATGACAGTCCTGATGAGAGCAGGGTTCCTAGTTGCAGGGTGAGGAATGGTGTGTGAGGGGGGGGGCGGGGGGCTGGCTGCTGAGATCTCGCCCCTCAGACTGAGATTATTCCCTCCTCTAACAATGATCTCATTCCCCCTGACACCCGCCTCCCACAGGGGGTGGGGGGGGGTGCAGATTCCCTCACAGTCCGCAAATCTCCCCCATGGCCTCTTCTCCAGGCCTGAGGACACACGGGGGTCCCTGCCCGCATCCCCTCAGACCAAGGCTGTCTGCGCATTCCCGAGCCCCCCTCCGTGGGATCCAGGACCTCCCTTTCTCAGCGCGCCTGGGGCTTTAACACACCTGGTCATGTCTTCCTGGGAGGGAAAAAACAAAGACAGCACCACCACGTGGGGACTGAGCTGGTCTCTGGGCAGCCCTGGGCATGGGGACGCAAAGGACAAAGCCAAAATTCCCGTGAGGGCATGAGGTAGCGGGGGTTGAGCTGGGAGGGATAAGGGAGGTGGACAGGGCAGGGGGCGGGCACGCCTGCTTTGGGCAGCTCAGGGGCTGGCTGACCCCTCCAGGTAGGGGCAGGTATACCTCAGATGGGGCAGGGCCAGGAATAGGGGTGATCTCATTGTCTCAGTCACCCCAGAGAGAGGAGAAAGGAAAGACAATGTACGTGGAGTGGGGGACAGGGAAGCAGGCGCTGGGGAAGGAAGGGAAGCACCAGGCAGTTTGGGCTCAGAGCAGGGCTGGGGGGTCGAGGCCCGCTCCATGGAGAAGCCAGACTCGACCAAACCTGCCCGTGAGCCTCGGAACATTTTTTTTTAAGGAGAACCCCACATGGACATCTGCCCCCACAAGCACCTGGCCAACTTCCCACCCAGCCTCCCTCTCCCATAGATTTGACACCACGCCTACAGCCCCCCTGCCTCTCCCACGGCCCCCAGCCTGCCTTGGAGAGACCGAGATAAAGTTTAAATGAGCAAAGATGCCCCGAGGGGTGGCCACCCCCGCTTCTACCTGCTGGGTCTTTGTCCCGTGCCTGAGAAGCCCCAGTCATTGGCGTTTCCTTTCTACTCACCCGCAGTCGGTCGGCTGCCGGCCGGCACCGTCTTCACTCCCTCAATTAGTGGTATCCAGGGCTTCTCCACATCAGCACCACCAGGCTCTCGCCATGACATCACCTCCGAGCGCAGTGATTGGCCAGCCCGGCTTGCTTGGCAATTGGACCATCTCCCCGGGCTGCGGAGCCGGGATTGCCTAGCAAGTGACTTCCCAGGCCGGGAGGGGCCGATGATGTCAGACCCCTTGGCTGTTTCCCCTGCAGCCTGCAAAGCTGGGGACTCGAGGGGAAGGGGGGCACGAGGGTGGGGATGGAAGAAGAAAGAAAGAGGGAGTGGCCCAGGGAAGTGGGGGTAGAGGCCAGCTGGGGAGGGAAGGGGACAGATAGGGGCCATGGCTGGGGACATCTGGGGGTGGGGGGACATGGACTCTCGAGGAGAGACCAGAAAGCACAGGTGAACCCTACAAATAGATGCCTGAGTGGGCTTGAGGCCTGTTTCTGGACCTGTCAGAAGATTTGGAGGCTTTGAACAATGACTTCTAGGCAAGGAGGGGCCACAGCACTCCCAGGATCTGGACCTGGGATAGGGAGGCCCCGGGGTCCCTGGACTATTATTGTGACCACACACAACTCTGTGGGGTCACCTGCTCAACACTGGGGGGCCCCAAGCTCCTGAGTCTTCCCAGAGGGGGGCCGCCAGACAGCAGGGCATCCCCAGGACCAGAGGGGGCCCTGGAGGGGCTGATGCATCTTCTTGGTAGTTTACGATGCCCGGGGGCTGGGTGGGGCATGAGGGAACTCCTGACACAGTTGTCTTGGCCCAGCACCCCCAACCTGTCTTCTCTCTGGGTGGTGGCACCCGGCCAAGGAAGACCCCCTCCCCAGAGACCTGAGCCCCACCAAAGATCTCCTGAGTGCACCCTCTGCCCACCTCCGAGCTCTCCAGGCAAGTATGGACCCCCTCTCATCCCGGCCTCGCCCCCTTTACCTGGGGACAGGGGCTGGGAAGTATCTTTTATTGTGGGCAGAAGACGGGCTGCAGCTAAGTGGCCAGTTTGTGACCTTAAGTCTGGCCACGTACTTGTGCAGCCATCAACACCCTCTTCCAAAGGGGAGCTCTGTCATGGACACACACACACATGCATACATGCACTCACATGCACACACAGGCACACACATGGACACAGGCATGCACACACTCATGCACGTATGAGTAAGTACCACATGCACACTCAAACATGCATGCACACACATGCACACACTCATGCACACATGAATACACATACATACACATGCACACACATTCACGCACACACACACACACGCAGCCCCTGGGAAGCCCTGGCCTTTGTGTCTCCATGGATTTGTCTCTTCTAGCAAATCCATGACCCTCTGGTCAAACCATCTGGTTTCTGCGTGCCTCTCCATGTTCCTCCTCACTCTCCTCCTGCTCCTGGAGAACCGCCCCCCCACCCCCCGCCAGTGACAAGGTTCCTGAGCTCAGCTGCCCCCTCTTTGAGCCCCCAGTACCTACAGACACCGGCCCCATTTGGGGAGGAAGCAGGATTTCGGGGCGGCATAGACCCCCACCTCCGCTGGGACCCCCTAGCTGGCACCCAGGTTCTGCGGATGGATTTCTCCAGGCGGTTTATGCAGACAGAAGTGAAGCCCCCTTCCCGCCTGTGCATCAGAAGGAATGAGACCACCCCTCTCCGGCCCTTGATACCCTGTGTGTTCAGAGTGACGAAGGATCCCAACAGCAGTCCTGGGGCTTTCCAGAGCCCCCCCCCCCCCCCCCCACTGGCTGCACGGCGCTGCCCCCTTCTCTTTGAATAACGTGCTGAGCATGCAAGCCCCAACCCAGGCCCTTGTCCTTGGTGCTGGCTTGTTTCCAAGGGACTCCGCGCTGCCTACGTGTAATGCCAGGGTTCCCCCCACAGAGCGTGCGGGGCTGGGCAATCCGGGCACACCTCAACAGGCGGCCACCCCTGCAGTCCAGGAGTCCCCCTCCCCTCCCCTCCTCCTGCTGCGGGAAGGCGGAATGCCACAAATCTGCGCGCTGGAGAGGGGTGGGGGGAGGGTACTGCGAGTTGCCATGGTGACGGCAGCCAATGAGAGAAGAGATGCTCAGCTACTAGGGAGGGGGCCCTCAACCTGCCCCCAACCAGTGACAGGTGAATGGGGGAAGGGGGTGGTGAGCGGGGACAGGACATTCACAGACCATTGCCACCTGAGAGCCAATAGTGGGAGGTGAGTGGGGAAGGACTGTCCCATTTCTAGAAATCTCTAGCTGCACCACTTTTGAGATGGAAATAGAGATGGTGAGTCTCTAACCTGCTCCTCTCAGACCGCCTTGGAGAGAGGGGTGTGCCGCCCCATCTCTTAAAGAAACAGTGCGATGGGAAAGGAAACTTACCAGTAGCCCCCATCTTCATGGGTGGGGGGGGCTGGGGATGGAGGGGCGCTGGGGGAGGAGAATAAGAGTGGCCTCCTAGTACCTCTCCCTGGAACCTGGCTGCTGGGTGAGAAAACAAAGAGAAGGACTTGGCGTCCAAAGACCGGCAGCCTTCGGGGTGGGGGTGGGGGGCAGGGGGGCTCAGAGAGCTAGTACAGTGGGTAAGGCGCTTGCTTTGCATGCAGACAACCCGGGTTTGATTCTGGCATCCCACTGCCAGGAGTGATTCCTGAGTTCAGAGCCAGAAAAAACTCCTGAGTATTGCAGGATGCCACCTCCCCCAAAGGCCATTAAAAAAAAAAAGACAAGCAGGGCTCACAATTTCAATGGGGAGACACAAGAGAGGATCCCCGAATTCTCCAGCCCCCTAAAACCCAGGACTAGACACCACTGGGCCCTAGATGGGGGTCTGCCACCTGCCGGTTGTTTGTCCTGTTTTCCCCTCCTGAATTGGAGGACCCCTTTCTGGAACCCGGATCATGTCTGGGCCTGTGGAGGAGACAGCCTATGGGTCTGCCTCTGTCTCAAGTGTCCACTGCTGACCTCTCGTATCCACAGGATTGCCTTTTAGCCGCGCAGCATTAAGGAGATGCAGAGAAGCTTGGAACCCAAAGGGGTGGGGGGAGGGGCCAACCTGGAGAGAAGTTGGCAAGATCAGCGCTGGAAGGTGAGGAGCGTGACACGGGGCAGTGGTTTCCTGGGGCTGGTGGCTCGGCGGGGACTGTCCCTGAGCCTCTTGACTCAGCGGACTGTGGTCAGCCCATCATGGTCACGGACGTCAGCCACCGGGCACAGGTCCGTGGCCGTGTTCTCTGGCTGCCACTCTCACAGCCGAGGTTTGCCTGGGGGAAGTGACCCACTTCAAGAGCCACCCCTGATAGTAGAGAGGCAACAGTGACCGCTGTTGAACGAGCTGGACACCTCTGACCCTGTGGGTCTCCCTCTCCATGTCTCACCCTCCCTGCACCCGTGTTCTCTCTGCGCAGGGGTGCAGAGGGGTCCGTGTTTGCCGTGGCCTCATTCTCCCCATGGATCACCCCAAATCTCTTCCTCACGTGTGTTTCATATGCAGACACACATCTCCCCATCCAGCAAAAGGGTCTCAGAATCAGGGTGGCCAATGAGTTTCCCCCACAACGGGTTTTCTTTCCTCACTGGCACGTGACTTCGGGTGAAGAGCCTGAGGCCCCAGGAGATGCCGGTGGGATTCTAAAACGGACCAGAACCATGTCACCCAGGGCTGCAGGATTCCAGAACAGACTGGAACCTTCTTACCAGGGGCTACAAGATTCCAGAACAGACCGGAACCATCTCACCAGGGGCTACGGGATCCAGAATGGACCAGAATCATCTCACCAGGGGCTATGGAATCCAGAATGGACCAGGACCATCTCACCAGGGGCTATGGGGTTCCAGAATGGACCAGAACCATCTCACCAGGGACTACAGTTTTGTTCCCACTCTCTACCAGGAGCAGGTCGTCATGGGCTGGGTGCAGAGTCTGGTGTACCCGGAAGGTCCAGAAGAAAGCAAGAGTCAGCATGTGGGGTCCCAAAGCCCAGGCTCAGGAGGAACATTGGAAGACCCCCCAAACATCAGTCATGCGCGCAGCTGCTCCTGGCTCTGGTCTGCACCCACTCCCTGCATTCACGTGACCAGGTGGTGTCTGAGTCAGCATTTCAGGCCACACAAGAACGAGAAACTGTTCCAATTACCTGCAGCACAAACAGGAAGTTCACCAGAGTCTGTGGAGAGGCACATGGACCCTGAGAAGTAGAAATCAGTGGGAGAGAAGGCAGCTGGACACCTGTCCCCCCGCTCCTCTTTCTCCCTTCTCACTCCCTCTCTCTCTCTCCATCTCTCCCTCTCTCCTTCTCTCTCCCTCTCTCTCCCCCTCTCTCTCTCATCTCTCTCTCCCTCTCTCTGCTATCCCTCTCTATATTCCTCTTACTCCCCTTCCATCCCCCTTTCCCTCTCTCCCCCTCTCCATTTCTCTCTCCCTCCCTTTTCTCTCCTTCCTCTTTCTCTCTCTTCCTATTTCTCTCTCTTTCCCCGTCTCCTCCTCTAATTTTCCCTTTTCTCCCTCTCCCTCTCTCCGATTTCTCTCTCTCCCCCTCCCTCCTCCTCCCTCTCCATTCTCTTCCCCTCCCTCCCATCTCTATTTCTCTCCCTCTCTCCATTTCCCTATCCTTTGCTTTAATGATCTCAGTCCCTTTATTTTTAATTTTTTAAAGATTTTTTCATTGAATCACCATGAGATAACAGGTAAAAATTGTCCATGATTGGGTTTTAGTCACACAATGTTCCAACACCCATCCCTTCACCAGTGCACATTTCCCACCACCAAAGTCCCCTCCCTCCCACACATACCCCTGCACCTCCCCAGCCTACTTCTATGGCCTCTATGGCAGTCTCTCTCTCTCCCTCCCTCCCTCCCTCTCTCCCTCCCTCCCTCTCCCTCTCTCTCTCCCTCCCTCTATCCCTCTCCTCCCTTCTCCTCTGCCAACGGTAGACACACACACAATCCTGCTCTCTGGGGACTCCCATCAGCCTCCACCTTCACAGCTACCCCTCTTCCCCAGGGCAGAGTGTTCTCTGGGCAATGTCACAGTCCCTCGGGGCGGTCCAGGAGGA